ATACGAAGCGTATGGAATGGCCCATCGGACGAGTTGTAGAAGTTCTTCCAGGAAGGGATGGGCAGATTCGTTTAGCCAAAGTGGAGACTATCAAAAGATGCTTGCTCCGTCCACTACAACGATTATTTCCATTATGTGGACGTGATCCTGACAGACTTTCAGAGTTGGACGCTGTTAAGCCTCGCGTTCAAACTGAGATAGAAGTGAATTCGCCTATGACTTCGCGAAATGAAGGCGAAAACCCACAGAAGTCGTGAACCTGAGATTGAAGATGTAGGTATTGAAGTCGAAAAAACGACTCGATGTGGACGTATTAGTAAGATTCCAAGTCGTTATTTAGAATAGAGTTTGTTCTATAGTTAGTTTCATGTACTTCCGATATTAGCTCTGTTTAGCATTACAAAGTTAATTTTTTCAGTTTTAAGAAACATTTTTGTCAGCAATGTTTCTTAGGTGGGAGAATGTCAGAGATGCGAGTATATGAAATGGATGAATAGAGAGAGAAAAGAGAGCGAATCGAATACAACAAAACCTAAAAATAAAAACCAGTAAGATTTTGACATTGTCAGAAAAAAGTTTTATGTACAGACATCTCGGCAGTTTTATTTAACGAACCCATCGACGGCCCTTTGAAACGGGTAGTTTCTTTTGGTGCACGACACTACAGTTGTTGAACATGTCCAAATAGCGGACTGCAGGAGCGAAACTGTAAGCAGTTAAAATAGTTAAATTAACAGTTAAAGTGATAAAACTATCTATTAGTTGTAGATGTTGGTGTAATAATATGTGGAGTAAGTAATAATAATTTATCGTTATAGGAGAAATCATCGGTAACAATTATGTATGAGATTAAGCTAGTTTCTCAGAGATGGCACACAGTTTGTTCGTCAATAATGGATAACCCCCTGAATTGTTTCCGTTATATAGCTGTGCATTCGCCAAATGAGTGGTATTTGTTTTTCCCTTGTTTTGCATAGTTTTCACTGTATTTATACTTGATGAACTGAAAACTACTATTTTCAACACTTCAATACCACTTCATCGTACATCACACACTATGAAATCAACTACTTCTTACGATGTTTGAATCTCAAAGAATATTATTGGCATAGATGAAGACATAAATACCAGATTTTCGACAGAATCATTGTTTTAGATATATCATTCTTTAAGATAAAAAAGAAGTAGATGTCGATCAATCTGCATTTAACGTGACTGATGCACCGCACCAGTGCAATTAGCCATGTCTAGAACATTGTCATAAATACGTTATTCATGTTCTACTCCCCCATGTTCTAACAAAAGTTTGACAAACTTGATTTAAGGTGCAGGTTATTGCATATTTTGCTTATAGAATTTTAACCCGCGTTAATTTCAACATTACTCAAATGTGAGTACAAACTCAGTTATTAATAATGATCATGATTCTGGACAAGGATTGAATCATCTCACTGTTTACACATAAACTTATTTCAAGACTCTCACGATTGATATTATTCAGTGGTATTTATTTACTATATTGATAATTCCAAATCAAAATCAATTCCTGGGCTTCAGTCATTTATTTTCTATTTATCAACTGAAATACGTTTCGGTGTTTTCCACCATCATCAGTTTCTATGTGTAGCGTTGTTGCTACTTTAAGCCTTGGCATATATTCGGAGTATTAAATTTTCAATATATTGATAATATAACTATATTTATATATATTCACTATATTTAAAATGGTTTCACCATTTTATAGAATATGCGTAAAAATCACTTTTTGTTATTACTTTCTACTACAAGTTGTGTAATATAGGTGTGTTAGGGTTTCATAGCGGTCCTGACTTCAGTCTAAAATAATTCATCTAGACATACATACTTTAAAACTGAATATAAATAAATAAAACATAAGAGTACAGGTTGTGTTAACTTGGTTTTGATCGGGACCGCCGTTGTTGCTTACAAAGCCAAACGATAAATTTGCGTCTTTGGGCAAAACGTTCCCCAATTTGATTTTTATTGAAGAAAACCGAAGCTAATTTGCTACTGTCTATTAAATTTAATTCCAAATCAAATTCATTCCTGGGTTTCAGTCATTTATTGTTTCTATTTATCAATCAAAACACGTTTCGGTGTATTTTTCCACCATCATCAGTTTTTCGAAAATAACAGATAGTTAAAAAATGTTGTCATTAATTTAAGAAACAACCACAGTTTGTCAACAGCATCATCATATCACACATTAAAATACATCACAATTGCAATACTTTAAAACATTCTAAAATTAATTAGACCTAACAGGTGATTAGTCA